GCCCCAAGAGACCCCCAAAGAGGCACGCATTCGGCCTCAGAAGGGGGCATCCGCAAGCAAGAATCGCCCCCACGTTGAGTCATAGGGTTCGGTCGGGCATGTCCCCCATACAGGCGGGCTTTGGACGAAACATCAAACGTAGTGAAAACATATTCCAAACATGATCAAACATAGTAGAAACATCGCCCCCCGACTTTTTACATATGTTTGAATACTCCTCCTGTAGAGGGACAGGTCAGACTTACCCATAGGGCCCAAATGTCGCCCCACGAAGGCCACACGAGACCCGACGCAAAGAGCCCCACAGAGGGCCCCAGGGCCCCCCACGCGAGCCCCGAAGAAGGCCCCTCGGAGGTCCCGAGTGGAACCCACGGAGGGCCAAGAGATCGTTTCCAGGTGTCCTTCCGGAGGCTCGCACAATCAAAGACTCACGAAGACTGGCCTCCTCCTCCTCCTCCCCATTCATGATCATATTTCTCCTCCTCCTCCTCCTCATCATCATCCCTCGGCGGTAGGATTCCAGGCGGATGCTCTATTGCATTCTGCAACGCTTCCTTGATCAGGACATCTTGCCTGGACATCGTGGCTGCTTGGCGTGCTGGCTGCTCACTTAAGGCCTCCACGAGACTCCACAGGCAACTCGCCTGGGCATCGGTTCTGGATGACATAAATGATCTACTACAGGTGCTCTTCCGTCGTCGGCAATTCTCGGTGGTCCACATATTCTTCTGAGCGGCTGTCGCACGGTATGCTCTATGCTACTACTCCCGTTGGTCCAGGCGACACGCCTGGGCATCGCTTCGGGATGGGCCAACGTGGGCACTTTTTTGATCGCGAGCGCGCCAGGAGAGTCGGACGCCGTCAGCGGTCGCAGCAACGGATTACGCGCGAATTGAGCACTTGGGAAAAGGAGACAGGCGACGAGAGGACACCGGGAGGAGGAACTAACAGGAGGCGGGCCTCGCTGCCGCTCAGAAGATGGCGCCGTCGTCTGGGGGGGAACCGCCAAGGGGAGCGCATCGCCAAAACGCCAGTATGGGGACACGTTTGCCCGCGAACGATACGGTGCAACCGCACGCCGTCAGAGAGCGAAGCAACAGCGCCGCGATCTAAACTAGGCACCACGAGCGCAGGAGCGAACTACGCCCAATGGGGACACTTTTTTCGCTCGCGGCTCCAAGGCGAGGGACAGGGAGCGGGCACAACGTCCGGGGCGCGGTACGATGCAAATTGGCCGCAGTGGCGTATGCACATGCCAGGGACAAAATGCCCCTCATCGAGACGCAAGACAGCGTCGGCAGGTGACCGGCCCAGACATCCCGGCAGGTGGGGGCCAATGGGGACACGCGAAGCGTCACGAATTCAGCTTTTATTGACGGACTCCACGGCATCGCGCCACGTGAGACAAGCTGCGTCGGAAAATCAGCGCTCAGGCGTCAATGGTCGGAGACGCCACGAACCCTGAGCAGCGCTCCCGCTGGAATGTCAGATGACAGAAGGCGCGCTTCACGTGCGATCCGTCAGGCGGAAGATATGCCACCAGGGGGAGTTTGAGGGGGGTGGCTTATGCAGCCCCAGGGGTGCCATGGCCAGAATGGCGATCTCGCTGGGGACATCCTCAAACAACTGGAATGTCTTGGGATCGCTCTTGGGAGGTCTCAAGGCGGCCCACCAAAGTCCAACCATATAGCTCTGACACGCTCGGCTTCGGCCACAAATAGCGATTTCGCTAGGGGCACCCTCATACAAATGAGATGTTGTCGACATCGTCGTGGTATCGTTCTTGGAAGGCCTCAAGACCATCCAGCAGAGGCCAACAAGACAGACCAAGAGGGCCCCAAAGTGGCCCCAAGCTGGTCTCCACGTAGGCCTACGAAAATCCGAGATGGCTTCCCAGATGGCGATTTCGCCGGGGATCTCCTCAACAATTCTGCTCGGTACTCTCCGAATGCCCCGACTGGTAGCAGTTAGCACGTCCCTACAGCGGCGCGCCGTGCGCCCTGGCAATGGCGTGTCCTGCGCTTCTGCCCAAAAGAATGGCGAGACACCAAACGTTAGGAACACGTTGCGCTTTCCACCGCTCAGCGAGGGGATGTTCCCGCGCGGAGTCGCAAAACAAGACTTCGCCTGAATCACTACAAGCACCGTCAACACCAAAAGTGGTCGTCGTCGTCATCATCAGCATCATCATCACCATCATCATCAGCATCAGCATCAGCATCAGCATCAGCATCAGCATCAGCATCAGCATCAGCATCAGCATCAGCATCAGCATCAGCATCACCATCATCATCATCATCATCATCATCACCATCACCATCAACATTAACATCATCAGCATCAGCATCAGCATCAACATCATCATCACAATCACCACCATCATCGTCGTCATCATCGTCGTCATCGTCGTCATCGTCGTTGTTCTCGTCACCAAATGGCCCGAGAAGGCCCGAAGACGGCCCAATCATCATGAGCCAGACTGGCCCAAGTTCGCTGTGCGCCATTTGGCCGCTGCCGCTGACGACGAACGCAGATGGACCGTCCAGACGAGAAAACGCGACATTCGGACAGCGGGCGGTCAAAACTGGGAAAACACATGGTTCTGGATAGCGGGCGGTCCAAGCAAGGAAAACGCGACACTCGGACAGCGAACGGTCCAAACGGGGAAACGCAAGGTTCTGAAGAGCGGGCGGTCCAAACAGGGAGTTCTACCGGTTTCTCTCTCCAGGGGGTCAAAAAGAATAATGGTTCTCGAGACTACCGATGGACGGTCCAAACAAAGAGAACCAGACAATCGGACAGCAGGCGGTCCAAACGGGGAAAACACATGGATCTGAAGAGCGGCTGCCCAAGCGGTGAACACATATGTATTCTCGACACTCATCCTTCGACAGCTCAGAACACAGATGGACCGTCCGAGTTCGGAAAACACGACATTCGGACAGCGGACGGCCAAACTGTGAAAACGCATGGTTCTGAACAGCGGGCAGTCCAAGCGGTGAACACACACACACACGGATTCTGGACACTCTTCCTGTGACAGATGGCTCCGAGCACAGATGGACTGTCCGAGTTCGGAAAACACTACATTCGGACAGCGGCCGGACCAAACAAGGAAAACACATTGTTCTGAAAAGAAGGCGGCCCAACCGGGGAACACACGACACTCGGACAGCGGAACGGTTCAGACGGAGAAACGCACGGTTCTGGAGAGCGGTTGATCCAAACGGGGAAAATACACTGTGACTGTACACTCTCCCCGTAATGTCAGAACTCCGTCCCCCGCGCTGTTCCAAAGACGGCTTACTAACTGTTCAAGCGGGGAAAACGCGACGTTCAGACAGCGGGCGGTCGTAACGAGGAAAACACGCGGGTCTGAAACAGCTGCGGTCCAGACTGTGAAAACACCTGGTTTCTCGACACTCCTCCTGTGACAGCCCCGAGCTGAAGGGACAGTCCAAGTTGGGGAAATGCGACGTCCAGACAGTGGGCGGCCAAAACGGGAAAAAAACATGGTTCTGGAGCGCAGGCGGTGCAACCGGAGAGAACACAACACTCGGACGGCGGACCGTCCAAACGGTCCAAAGGGCGCCCCGGAGTCTGCCGAGCAAGAGCGACTCCGCTCAGGAACTCTTTAAAAAGGAATCGTCAATCCCCAGTGCCGCATGTTTAAAAAGGTGTTCCTAACATCGTCAATCTGCCATAGAGGGCTATAAAGGGCCTCAAGACGGCTCAAGAAGGCCCTAAGACAGTCCGAACGTCTCCCAAGAGGGCCCAAGAGGGCACCAAGACTCCCTGCCTGAGAATGCGACGAGGGCGAGGCAAAGATGGCGAAAGAGGAGGAAGAGCACAGCTCAAGTGGACCCGAAGACAGTCCGATCGTCTCCCAAGAGGGCCCAAGAGGGCCCAAAGACCCCCCAGGAATGCAACGAGGGCAAAGGAGAGAGAGGACGGACGAGGAGAGAAGAACGGAAAAGCCAGCGATCTCGCGCCATCACAAAACAAGCTGAGCGCTCCGTCCCCGTGCCGAGCCAGTCTAGTCGCCACTGTCGGCCATGACCCCCACGACAGAGATACCCTTCGCGGCTCCCTCCTTCCCGCCGTGGCCCCGATCCAGGTCCGCCGTCTCCCTCAGGAGGTCGACGCCTACCCCGTCCTCGGCCCAGGAGGGGCGACCCCGGCTCCTCTCCAGGTCACCCACCTTCCTCAGGAGGCTCCGGAGCATCTCGCCCTCAGTCGCCGTGCGGTTCTCCTGCACCTTCTCGCCCGTGTAGGTCTTCCTCGCGCAGGAGGCGAGGGACACCAGGATGGCCAGGAGGCCGAGAGACCCAGAGATGAGGAAGGCACCGCCCAGGCTCTCGAAGGAGACCGGGACAGTGCTGGTGTCGGTCTCGACAGCGGTCGGACACACCCTGCCCCAGCCGAACAGATCCTGCTGGAGGTTTTTAATCGGAGGCTGCTGCTCCAGATGCACCAGTGCGGCGCTCATTTTTGAGACCAGGGCCCGGCTGGTGACATTCATCGCAAAACCCACGTTCATCGGCTTCAGGCTAATGGCTGGCACAAGCGACAGATCTGAGCAGTGCTTCAGCAAGTAGGCGTTCTGGGCGGCATTGTCGTCGAACCATACTTGCGCGCGCCCGTCCTTCAGGGCGTCGTGGCACCATTGCTTCTTTTCGTTGTTGGGCAGGTTGTAGTCTGGGTATATGACATCGCTTGCGAAATCTTTGAAAGCGTGATAGTCATTGGGCCAGATCGTGCAAGCGACCGCACTTTTCAGCGACTCCAAATCCGTAGGCCCATGAACATCGTACACTGGCGTCGTGAAGAACGCTGCGAGGTTCGCAGTATACGTGCTGATCACGATCAACACTAGGAACAGGAGGCCCAGGCGGAGACAGCGTCCAGGCCAGCTGACCCACTCGTAATCCTCGCCCCCCAAAAGCGCGATCCAGGCGTGGTAGTGCGACTGGGCAACGGCATCGGGCGTGATGGCCCCC